AGTTCTTCTTTGTTAGACATGCTCTTTCATCTACACATTTAAAATGAGTCAAAAGTCATGCCTGATAGAATCATCAGCTGTGAGTAGGCCTGTCGCGTACGATAAATACAAATGAACTCGATAACTTTTCTGACCTCGAAAAATTGCCGTTTACATGCGTGTTTGTTTACATAAAGATGTGACCGGCCACTCTACCGGCCCGGCGCGCTGTGGCTGCCGGCCTGGCGGGGCTCGCACACAGCCAGGTCAGGACACTCTGTGTGCAGCAGTGTAGCAGCCAAATTAATAATATAGAGACAAGCAGGAGACCACGTGTGACATACTCGAGTGGAATTTGAAGTTAAATGGAAGTGGTTGCAAAACCTAACTCCATCTCCGGTGTGGGAATATTTTGGATTTAAGCCAAATCAACGAGGCGAACCTACGGACTTCAATGAGCCGGGCGGTGTGTCGCATTTGTTTTAAAAAGGTAGCAACAAAAGCTAGCAATACGACCGACCTTAAACTGCACCTGAAACACAACCACCCCATTCCGTTGTCCCAGCTGGAGATGGAGAGCCCCCACCTTCCCTACAGTTTGCAATCAAAGATGCATTTGCCCGACAATGCAAACATGTTGGTGTTCCTTGCTCGAAATCTTTGAAATACAGATTTGGATATGGCCTGTTGAGGCATCTGGGTCTTTGTATGGACAGTAGGGCTGTACACCTGACTGTTGTTTTAAAAAGGAGGTTTTTTTTGCCTGTGAGATAATGTGTGCTCATATTCATATATATAAAAAGAGAGAGAGAGAGCGAGAGAGAGATCTGTTTTCCAGCCTGAGTCTATTTAATGTATTGTTTAGGTTGTGTGTGATTTAATTAGTTTTCTATAATTTTATTTATTTATTATATATCATTTATATATTTGAATATTATTTCACATTTAATTTGCAATGTTGGATGTTCAATAAAAAGTTCTGTTTGAAAGGATGTACTTGAATTATTATTATATATGATCATTATGTCAGTGGTCTAAAGTGGTCTTACAACGGTGCCGACAATATTATCGTTTATCGCAATAATTTCAGGGAAAATGTATCGTCCAACTAAATTAATTATCGTGACAGGCCTCGCTGTGAGGCATTAACTTTAAAAGCCACTAAATGTAAGAGCCATGGCAAGACAGTTGAATTTCCTCTGAATTTCATTTGAGTATGAAATCATGTTTTTGGACTATGCTTAAATTAAGGTTTTAATTATTTACGACAGAGATGTATGCAGTCAAGCAGACTCTACTGTGCATGTCAAAGAGTCTAAATGGCGTAAAGCCGGTAGGATGCATGGATCGTTTTTGACCGTGTGATAACATGTGATCGTGACAACGTGTTGAACTGTATTAAGTCTAGTCGTGTATTTGTTTTCATGAATGAAATGTCTTAAAGTCGGTAGTGGACCGTCAAGATGCCCTGGGGCCTCATTTATAAACGGTGCGTACGCTCAAAAGATGGCGTTCGCCAGTTTCTAAGCAATGTTTGCGATTTATAAAAAACAAAACTTGATGGGAAAATGTGCGGTCCTCCACGCAAACTCTGACCCATGCGTACGCACAAAAACGGGAGAGACGAGAAACTGCGACACCGGCAGAAGGAAGAATGGAGAGAAATGTGTGAAAATCATACCATAAATAAATGTTACCTCTCATTTATCATATATGAAGAATTCTTTCACAAAAATTGATTGAAGGGGGGGGGGGGGGGGGGGAGTGGAGACGCTGCACACATACCACCAAATAAAAAAATATACGTGAATTGACTCAGATCCGCAGGGATCCCCCGTTACTTTCTTACAGTTTCTCATCATGGGGGGGGTCTCCTGTCCCCGGCACAAACGCACTGACACACTGCCTGAGGAAGGTTATGTGTATTTTGTCATTCACTTTTTTTCGGACCACTTATTTATTTATGTTGGTGACGATCCGGCCGCCATGCTGCTACTCTGGTTCAAACTGCATCCACCAAACAATATGATTTATCTCCACCTCCCCAAAATAACCAGAATCTGACACGATGTCTTTTTTAGCTGTTCTGTCGTCATTTCCTGCGATCTCCTTCCTGCAGTCAGTCAGAATGAATGAATGAATGAATGGGCGTTTCTTTGACTATTTATAAGCCCGCAAAAGCTGCACCGCATTTCGAGTCGATTGTGATTTATAAAAAAGGGAAACCGGCGTAGGACATGCCGTACGCAAGTCCTGCGCCGGTACGCAGTGTTTTATAAATCGGAAAATGTCTGTGCATATTTATTTGCTTTGTCCTACGTAAGCAACCTTCCCAAGTGAATCCTACGCAAGGCTTTATAAATGAGGCCCCAGGTGATTTTGGATACTGTGATTTAGTTTAAATAAACCATCAAGACGTACCCGTCCTCCATGACTACATTAGGTCTTCACTAAAGGTTTGACCTTTTGAAACACAATTCAGAAAGAAAATCTCTTTGCAGACTAAGTTGCCTAACAAATATAACCTTGGATAAAACGGCCACTAGACTAAATATTTATACCCTCATATTAAACATTCAACTCTCACTGAAATTGTTTGCCAGTGAATATTTGACAGTGTTCTGTATAATAATATTAATTACTTACATTTTTGTAGTGCTTTTCATGTACCCAAGGACACTTATAGATGATAGCAGAAACATTTGAAGAGAGTTTCAGGGTATTAAACCAAATGTCCCGGTGCTATAGTTTAAGTAGCATTACAAAAGCTTTTTCCCGCTATAATAGTGGGGCATATATGCATTGTCTTTAACACAGGAAAACCCGCTTCCAATAGAAAAAAGACCATTTTCCCTGTGCCAGAAGGCGAGTATCTCTTTTTCTCTGGTGTGTCACTTTAGACGTCACAATTGCACCAGCAGCACCAGAAGTAGGTGAAGAGTGAACATGTTATGCGTGTTTGTTTTTTGTTTCCGTTACTTATTCAGCCTCTTTTTTAAATGTTCAAAGACAGAGTTATTGATTGTTGAAAAAAAAAAAAAATTAAGGAGTTTTATTTCTGTTGAGTCATAAATGAAGTGTTTTTCATGACAACGATTAGCGAAAGAAAACTACACTGTTCTGGAGTCAGGTGGCTTTGAGAATTTGTTGTTCTTTGATAATTATAAGAAATGTTCAAACCCCTGTTGTTATATCACCGTGCGCCAGATAGCATCACATTGGAAGACGAACAGACAAAACATACTGTGACTACCGCAGAGTCATGTCTCCCAGGCAGATTGTTACCGTTAACCTGATTTTCCCCTAGGATTAGTAAAGTATATGAAATTGATTGATTGATATCCAATGAAGACAGAAGCCATAGGTTAGTGGGTTATTTTGTCCAGTGGGAAAGGAAAGCTTCCTGTCTTCATCAGCATTAAAAGAAATAAATTAGTTACAAAAAAGTAAAACAGCCATTTTGAATCGAATTAGCTTCCCATTACCTTGTCTCGGGGTGTGAGGCAACACACTGCAGAAGTGCCAGGGCATTGCACACCCTGTTGGACTGGTGAGCTGTAAGCGTAGGTGGGTTTATAGATGGATAGATGTTCACTATTTCCTAATGAAGAGAAAGAAAAAGACGAGGTACAAAATCAGTTTTTCATCAAGGCCACACAACAGCAGATATAATGAACATCAGAATCAGAATACCTTTATCCGCCCCACAGAAGGGACATTTACATACAGGTGTAGTGACTGAAGAGATACTACAGCTTGGGTTGGGATATGGTTCATACCTGCAGCAGGGCAGCAATGGTGCCACAGGAGTGCCAGAGCATCGGTGCCAGGTCTGGCACAGACTCTCGCTTCTTGCTAAGCTCCAGCAAGGCATTTTCTCTGGTCTCTGGACTGGACAACTCATTGATCCATTGGTAGATCTTCTCCCGGTCTACCTGGGCCAGGGCTGTGACGTTAGTTACAGCCTGTAAGGGGAAGGGGAGATATTCAGCAAGTGTATCCATCATCAAATGAATTAAGCCTTGGAAACAAACTGTGTATCAATGTGATACCATTAGTAAAGACACTTACTACAACACATATCATATGTATAATATATGTGGGCCCATCCACAATAAGGCACCACATTATTGCTATGAAAATATATAAAAATGTGTCTGATTTTGTGAGTGTTTATTGGGAAGTTTTACTGAGATGTTATTGCAAACTTTGCAACCAAACATTGTTCAAAGCCACACACCTTTATTTTCCCCTCTGGTTGTGATCCCTATATTTTTAAATATACTACATTTGTCAGACTGATTTTGGGGAAATACAGATAAATAAATAAATAAATATAAGCCATCTAGAATATCTACAATGGCTGAAACGGTGTAACGTTAACCATACAAAAATGGAGTCTTAGAATGAATGCACATATGTTACTCAGTGTAAAGACTGTAAACACAATGTGTATGTATAATAATGTCAGAAATTATTTGTCAAGATGCTATTAACAATCAAAGCCCCATAACAAAAGGGGGATGAGTGTTGAGACGGTTGATAGCTTTCTGTAACGTTATAATGAAATTAGATACTCACAGCTCCCGTGGCCAGCATTCTCTGAAGCTCTTTGTGGTCCAACCGTGTTGTTAAACTACTGCTTCAGCTAACGTGTTGTGTATTGCCAAACTAATGTGGCAGCAATGAAACAAATTTGACGTAATTAACACAAAGTAAGGGCAGCTAGCCCAAGCTAGCTGCTAGCGTCAACGTCTTGCCAAATGGAATCCAGTAGTTCCGCGTGCACATCAACGTTACAAGCAACGTAACTTCATTGCGGTAAAAAAACGTTAATATTTTTGATAATTCTTGATAGAAACCAGCCTCGAGAGTTCAAATTTGAGCGTTATTGTACAATAAACATAATCCAATGGCGAGTTTTTTTGCGGGCAATGGTGGCAACCTAAATACATATAATTAAGATATCGCGAGAGCACAGTCGAACCGGATCGGACGCACTCTCGGTTATCATTTCCGTTGTACATTTTCACATTCCCGCCATCATCGCGCAGTGTTGCGAGGCGTTGTGTGCGGGTCCACTGTCAACAACATACATACTGGGAGCAGGTGAATGCCGGCAAAACAAACGTTCTGCTCTCGGAGGACCTACGACAACGATACTGTGAGATACAAGTTTCTAGAAGAAAACACATAATCGACAGGTAACAAACTGCGCAGGTTTAACCAAAGGGTGACCCTGTTTTCATCCCCAAATTACAATCAGGCAAATTAGCCAGTTAGCTAGTTCCCGCTAGCCTGCTAGCCGACTAGCTAATGTTGGCCTCCCCCATCCATTCAGCGTCTATAGATGGGGGGACGACAGCTACATCCCAGACATTCGGCTTGGCTGTAATGTTACCCTAGGTGCTTCTTTGTAACTTTGTCCGGTAGCTCAATTGTATGACGTTTATTATTGTAATAATTATGGCAACCAAGACAATAGTAATGAGCGCCGGTCGCAGTGTCGTGCATCTTCGCTTTGCTGGGCTAGTTTGAAGGATAATGCATACAAGGCTGCATTGACTCTTACCGCTAGCCAGCTAACATAAGTGGCGTGAGTTTTCACACTTTGTGAGACATTTACCCCTGTGAGTTACATATTTGCCGTGAGTTTATCATCTGTGTTAATATGAGCTGTTGTGCTAACGGTATGTGTCTTGTGGTCGACTTAAGTTTGTTGTGACTTTCAACAAGCGCTCAGTTGTACAACGTTGGCCAAAGCGGGCTAGCTTGGATGCATTATACATCGTTTATTAGCTGATCATATGTGTACGTAACACAAGTTGTTTAACAACAGGTGCAATAAAAGTGCTTAAGATGTATCTAAATCAGGTATGGTTTATCATTGAGTTCTTGCCTCCTTTTTTAAAGAAATGGATGGAATAATAACGGTTTATGGTGGCAAGATGGTTAAAACATGTCCCTTTAATACTCCACTCTATATAAACATGAACTGTGAGATGGGTAATATATGACACAATGTGGTGTAATAAACTCATTTAATTAGATTTCCTTCTTGTTTTAGGATTTGTTTGGTTACAAGTCCAAGCCTCCAAAGTGCACCAACTGGATATTAGTAAGCCATGTCAACCATAGTGCCCAAACTCTCCAGCGGTGGCGCCAGTGTTAAGATCCGCCTTACCAGCCTTGATCTGGGCACCACCAGATGGAAAGAGGGAACTTTTGAGATTCTGGAAAAGGACAACAAAATCAACCTGTGTCTAAGATTTAACTGTGGTGGAGCCTCCAAAATTTTCCAGGTATTATTCAAACTCTGTTCTTGGTGGTTATTCAAAAATGACAACTGCAAATGACTTAAACATAACGTTAGATTCTGAAGGAGTACCCTTTCTTAAATGTTTCAATGTTATATTTTGAGATACAGCGCTATACAGACATCTGTCTCATCTGTAGAAATGTCCTCAGAGCAGTAATGGATGAATCTCCCTTCAACCACTTATCAAAAGACTTTGGAAAAACAGTTGATATGGTAGCTGTTGAAGAGAAGCTTGTATAGCAAGCAATAACATACCACCTTACTCTCTGCCTGTTCCTTAACTCGGCCATTATTTACTTTGTCAATCTCAATGTTTTTACCGTTTGCATCAGCAATACTGTAAAATGTCCAGGAATGGAAGGTACCATTTAAGTTAGGAACGCAATACAAAGACTATATTTCCCACATATACATAAGAATTCCCACCAACATTTAGAGATATATTTTAGTCTGGACTTTTGACAGTCATGACTCATGGGGAAGGACTTATACATTTTGAGAAATGACAGTCATAAAGGAGAACACTTGCACATAAGTGAACCAAAACATGACTTAGTTTACTTAGTTTTTGTCTGGCTAATAAGTGCTGCAATCTGCACAGAAATCCAAATACACTGAAAAATGCTACTTTTGGATGAGAAATTTAAAGTAAACAAATGGCTCGGAGGAAAAAATTTGATTAAGTAGAACATAAGTAAACCGTTAAATGCATGGATAAAACCATGTAAATGACTTACTCAGCATAACACTAATGGGCTCCTAAAGTATGCAGTTATTATTAATTGGAAAACATACTAATTGAATAAAACTACAACCAACGTATCTTGTATTGTTTTCTTAGCTGTACCAGAACTTGAAGACCGTTAACCAGAACCAGAACCGTATCATGCTGACTTTGAAGGACAACAGTGTCATCGTCCTGGATAAGATTCCTCCGACTTTGCTTCAGAAGACTAAAGAATTTTTGGACAAACTGAAGACTGGAAAGCCAGGTAATTACACCACTGCTAATTTTTCTTTGTTCAAAGAAAACCAGGGCCCCTCACTGACCCCTTCATTTTCTTATTTTGAGCTTCCGCTATTTGTGGTTCTGTCGTTACTTCTAAGCACAACACGCACACTTAATGGCAGTTATTTGCTTTGTAGACTCCCACGGGCTAATCGTCATAATACATCAGATTTCAGTTGCAGATGTTTTTCTGCTCTTTTGTGCCGACTAATTGTTTTGTTTTACGGTGGTTGAACTCAATATTTTGAAGCAATTCAAATCAATTTTAATCTTACTCAATAGGTTTCTATACTGTAAACTTTGTTTTGCCACTGTGACAAAGCCAGTGGCGAGCCGTGACTTTTATACCTAGGCCCTCTGACCCCCACCCCTTCCCTCGAGTTATTACGTCACAGCGTATACTTCAGCGGAATATCAAAACAACGGCCCGGGGTGCAAAACGCATCAATGAAAGCGACCCTCTACCACACAAAACAACACCTGTAAATAACCCTATTTGTGTTCTTTGAAATTGAAAAGGATATTGCATTGTGTTTGTTACTTTCGTTGCAGTTGTATGTCTTAAGTGTAATTTGGCATGCTTTTATTTTGAAGGCGAGTTAACGCTGTTGACAGGAAGTTGTTGTTGCTATGGAAACAAGAAAAGTTTCACAGCGGGCGAAACTTGTCATAAAGTCCGTGATAATAACACCCACCCATTTAGAGGGAATATATGATTGGTCAATTGTACTGTCATTTGACATTACTCTCTCGTTCAGTTACTATAGCTGGGCGCTCTGTGAATTCATAGCTGGACCGCCTGGACGTCCAACAGCTCCTCTCTTCACAGTAACACGCAGAGACGAGCTTCTTTCATTTAACCCTTCACATTCCAACAGAAACTGAATAGGCAGATTCGAAGGATTTATTTCTTTAGAAATGTTATTTTAAATAAAATTAAATCAAGTTATTTTGGTAAAACTAATGAAAAATATGACTTAAAAAAAAATAATATTTTTTAAATGTTTTTTAATATTATTTTGTAGAATATCTTAGGCCCTCACAGAGGGCCCTGACGGCTCGCCACTGGACAAAGCCATGGCATGCACAAAACTTGACTACAAAAGAGAATACTAAGTATTGTTTCAGTTTGACCTTAACTCAGCCTTAGATAAAGAATGGCCGGATTAGATGCCTCATTGAAAAAAGTTTATCCTGTTGCATTTCATTCTGATGAAGTTTGTCCTGTTCCTTCCGCTGCTGATACTGTATTTATATATTTGTATTCAGAATTTAATTTGAGAAAATCATCATACCTACTGGCCTGGTGTGGACTTTATGTTTGTTTCTCAAACTTTCCAACAACTTTTCAAGTTGAAATGAGCACAGCAAGTCAGGGCTAATATCTATGGTGTAGTTACAGGTTGTCCAAGCGTATAAATACAATGTAATAGCTACTTAATTGATCAAGTTATCATTTAATTCACATGCTTTGTCCTGAGCTGCCATTTTTCCTTCTTCATTTTGCAGTTTTAAAATCGTCCCACGGAAGCGCAAACCTCAGTGTGCTGGGAAACCGCTCTTTGAAAAATGACAGCAATCCTTCGGGGGAGAGACAGGTAAGCTAGAAAACAAAACCACACTTAAAGTTTGAATTTAGACATTGTGCCTTTATAAGATTCCTAACGTCTTCCAGACAACCCAGAGGCGTCAGAGTGCAGAAGGCAGAGAGGAGACGACGCCACGGAAACCCCTGGGCAGCCCAAGCAGAGCCACCTCCACTCCCACCCGCACGGGACTCTCTGAGAACAGGTAGGATGGAAATTCATATTGTTGTGTTTTGTTAACAATTTGTCTTTTTTTTTTTTAAAGCAGCCAAATACAAGGCTATGCGTGCTCTATCCTCATTGGAGACAATTGAAAGGGTGCTTTTTGGACACTGGCCTTTAAACTGAGAGTCTTTCTTAATGCAGACTTCAAAACATCCCATTTTGTAGTTGTTATGTTTCTCAGTTAAGTCATGGTCAGTTCATGCTTGTGACATCAATTGTTGCTTATCACTGTTTTTCAGGAGTGAGAAAAGAAAGAGACTCATCACCTCTGAAAGTGACCTGACTGAAGACTACCCCAAGGAAAATGACTCATCGAGGTAATAGCAACATCACTGCCCACATTGAGCTGCAGGGCTTGTTGGATACACATGAATCCACCTGACTTCTGTAGCTTTTTCTCAGATATCTATGTTTTTGGTCTTCTTTTTTTTACAAGAATTGAAATATGTACCGTGTTGTAATTAGTTTTATTTCCATATATTATTTTGCTCGTTTGCCAAACAAACCTTAAGGTTGTTGATCGAAATGCATAGAAATGTTTGGTAACTTCCAAAAACCTGTGTATACATTTTTTAGCAACAACAAGGCCACTTCGGATCCATCCAGGAAGTTTCTACTGAGCTGCAAAGACAAGCTGAAGCAGTCTGAGGAGAACAGGAGCTCAGGTACACTTCTACAACAACACTGTCTATAAACGGCTGCTTAGGACCTCACTGTACACTAACTTTCAGTGGTGCAGTGATGACCTCTTTGTGTAGGCCACCCAACAGTTAGCATTGCAAGGACTACCTCCACAAAAAGCAATGGGATTTCTGTAGAAAATAAGATCTTTGACAAACACACGTTTAAGATTCTACCACATGTTCTTCAGTAGGAATATCACCACATGCAATGCATCGCCAAAAGTAAATGTCTAACTTAAAGGTGGGGTAGGTAAGTTTGAGAAACCGGCTCGAGATACACTTTTTGTTATATTCCATGGAATGCTCTTAACATCCCGATAGCAATGAATATCTGAAGTGCTTTGATGAAAAATCCATTAAAAAATCTCATCTGTGGAAGCTGTGGTGCTGTAAAAAGCACGACCAATCATCTGAGCCGGCCCGGCTAAAGTAACTGGATGGCCTACCTGCCTGTCAGCCTTCCATCTGTGCACAAACTTATCTGGTGCCCTCATTGGTCATGTGTGCGTTCGTGTGTGTTGGAGGAGGGGCTCTGTGAGGAAGTGGCAGATTTATTCCGGCTGTGTATTTTCAAATTCTAGCGCACTCGAGCTGGTTTCTCCAAAATGACCTACCCCACCTTTAAGGCTATGAACAAACTGAGTGAGAACCTGAGGTGGTCAAATGCTAAGTGTTCTGCGTTTTAAGACTCATTTCTGCACCACTCTATTTACCTTTCTAACCCTATTCATTCAGACCCAAACGTTTGGTCTTTGACTTTACTTTCAATCACTCCTTTATTCCTCACCGACAGCTTCACTGAGTTCAACTCCCCTTCAGCCCACGTCCTTTTACGGCAGCCGATCGGTGACTAAAGACTACAGCCAGAGCCACTCTTTCCTGGACAGGTGAGTTTCTGTTCAGCCGTAAGGCACACGATGCCTGTTTTAAACCACACATCTACTTCTCCATGCAAATACACTAGAGCTGTGCGGTGAAACGGAACTCTTTCTTTTTTTAAGAAAACAGCTTTAGGTCAAGTGCACTTACAATTGAATTGAGAAATGTAAAGAGCACTTCAATAGAATTGTCTAGTTAGAGCATGAAGTCATTGTGACGCCAGTGTGTCACATCTGTGTACTACAAATCCACACAGGCCATGCAGTACAGCACAGAGCCCTTCAGCCAAGAGGAGCCTCATGCTGCCAAACCACTCCACTCCTTTCAAGAAGGTCCGGCCCACTCTGGACTACAGCGGCTGGAACAAGCAAAGGCTCACCCTGGCCCAGCCTCAGCCCCCCCTGCAAGGGTAAGGAGAAGCCAGATGTGCTGCACAGAACGTGAGCACACGCAGTCGGTTTGTAAAGAGAAACTGGATTTCATTTATTTTGACGTTGTGAACAAAAAAAGAGCTGTTTATGCCCTCGTTTTGAACGTTTTTTCATTTGTAACCTCACATACAACTGCAAATCCTGCGAAAGATAGTGTCACAAATGATCTTATCCCAACCAAATTGAAGGACTTTGAGTTTTTTTCGTTCCCTTTTTATTATCATCCTAATGTTTAAATCCTTTCTATCAGATTCTCCAACCTGGGCAACACCTGCTACATGAACGCCATCCTGCAGTCCCTCTTCAGCCTCCCCTCCTTCTCCAATGACATGCTGAGGCAGAGCATCCCGTGGAAGAAGGTCCCCATCAATGCGCTGCTCAGGTACTACATTAGGCCGTGTAGATGGATTAAAGGGAGACCTGTAATGATGTGCTTTGCAAACCTATCCCTGAAAGTGTTTCATTCTGTGGCGTCTCTTCACTGCCTGCAGGCGGTTTGCACACCTTATGGCCAAGAAGGATGTGGGCTGTCCAGAAACAAAAAAAGACCTGTTGAGGAAAGTGAAGAGCGCCATCTCCTCCACAGCTGAGCGGTTCTCTGGAAACATGCAGAACGTAAGATCTCTGTTGTGAGCAATTCTTCAAGTACCCTAATATTTCAAATGTCATGTGGTTGTTGCAGATGGAGGACATGGCACACTCTTTACCAGGAGAAGCAATTGTTTGTTTATAGTGCTCATACACATGTTAGTGCAAACATGTAATAACAAATGTCAAACAAAACAAATGATATACTAAAAAATATATATTTTGTATTCGTTAACTAAGGGATTGGACACATGCATTGCACAAGTTTTGTTTTTATTACCACCCGTAGCCCGTAATTGATGGTCTGTCTCAACTCTCTGTTTCTGAACACTGAAGCTGAACATAACCCACCTTTTGTATTTATGCTTTATGCTTTTTAAAGTCCATGTGTATCACATTATTCACCAGGATGCTCATGAGTTCCTGAGCCAGTGTTTGGACCAGTTAAAGGACGACGTGGAGAAAATGAATAAGAACTGGTCCAACGAAGCGGCAGCGTGGTCCTCTGTGGCGTGTGAGAGCGGCCAGGAGGGAGCGGCCTCAGCAGCAAAAGCAGAGCCGGGTGAAGAGGCAGACACGTCCCGCATCTACACCTGCCCTGTGGCGGTCAACATGGAGTTTGAGGTGCAGCACACCATCACATGCAAAGGGTGAGCCTGTCTCCTGCTCATTTATCTGAAAGCCAAAACTCTGAGTCTGGAGAATGTTTTATGCCTTCATGTTCCTTTACAGATGTGGCGAGGTAGTGAACAAGCGAGAGCAGTTTAATGACTTGTCCATCGACCTCCCACGGCGGAAGAAAACGCTTCCACTCCGCTCTATCCAGGACTCTCTGGATCTCTTTTTTAGGGTGAGGGTCTCATTGACAGCTTATAGTACTGATCCATTTCTATCAATGATTGATCTTCAGCCACCTTTCAACTGTTCCATTTGTTTTGCAGTTACCTTCAAGTGAGAAGTTTAAACTACATATACCATTTTTCAATGTGCAATGATAGAAGTTTCTTTTTCAGATGGAGGAAATTGAGTACTCGTGTGAAAAGTGCAATGGGAAATCGGCGACTGTTACACATAAATTTAGCAAACTGCCCAGGTGTGTGCACACATCACACTTGTTGCTAACTGAACACTGCATTTCAAACACAAGGCATGAGTCACAACAGCTACTTCCTGTAAGCATCTGTTGTTCACTAGTAGACACAGTTCTGATGCATGATGTTTCCTCCCCACAGAGTGCTCATCCTCCACCTGAAGCGCTACAGCTTTAACGCCCAGCTGTCACTGAACAGCAAGCTGGGCCAGCAGGTGGTGATCCCCCGGTACCTGACCCTGCTGTCCCACTGCACTGAATCCACACGAGCCCCCATTAGCCTTGGCTGGAGTTCCCAGTCCTCCATGTAAGACATCTGTCGATGCATAACACTAGTCTCATTTGGTTGAGAGATTAAGTGAAATATTTAGGTTTCTAAACGTTTTCTTTGTTGTTCTCAAGTTCCAGAACACTCAAAACGTCGCAGTGTGTCAACTCGTCGACAGCTCCTCTCCGGTGAGTTCTGTAGGAAACATGAAAAACAGATGAGAGTTACATTGGCAACAACATTAAAGCTTTACACTCAAATGTGCAGCAACATGTTCTTTGCTCGGTCAGATTCAATATTAAAACATACTGTCAAGGTACAAGAAAACAAAGCTTGAAGCGGGAAGGCAGTAAGATAGCTTATAAAAAAATAGCCCACCCGTGAGTCATCCAATCACATAAGCTTTGGTCTGAGCTTATTACTGTGTTTGTCTAGAAGGATTGGAGGCAAAGCTGCCAACTCTAGCTGCACGTCTAGCCTCCTGGACTCTGATAGTGAAGAGGAGCCCAACATTAAAGCAACAGTGAGCCGCAAGCGACGCCTCAGCAGCTGTCTGCCTGACGAGGATGAGCGACCGGAAGAGGTACCGCTGATAGACCGTCACAGTTATGATTACGATCATTTTCCCCTCGGTTTGTGTTACCACACTGTTTTGATGTGTCTTCAGCGAGGAGCAGCCATAGACGCAGCAGACTTCAGTGGCATAAATGATGAAGAAATGCTGGCCGCCGTGCTGGAGATGAGTCGTCAAGAGGCCGGGCTCTCGGCCCCGCCCCCAATGGAGGATGAGCCAACCAGCAGCCCCGACACAGGCTTCGGGGACACAGACGCTCATGACCTGGCCTATCACACAGATCTGCTGGAAACAGACAGCAAACAGCCTGCAGGTAGGCTAACATGTTAAATAAAGAGACGAGCACACATTCATCAAATAAGTAAGCATTTTTTGTAATGAAAAAAGCAAGTGACCAGTAATAACAAAGATACGTTTTTAAAAATAAGATATATGGGGCTCTCTAGATATACATAGAAACTGGGTTGGCCAAAATGCATGTCATAACCAGTTAAGCCCCATGCCCCCGGTACCGGAAACAGCGTCTGAGGGCTTTTTAACATTTAACAAACTACGAATGTGTCGTACCCACTTAACGGTGAGGAACTCAGCTATCGGACAATATGAACCATTTTTAGCTAAACGAAACACAAGGGTAATAACAAGCCCTGAGCGGAAAAATGCTAACGCACTTAGCAAAGAACTCACGGTATAAATACTTTATTACTTATCGGATCTGCACAAACAGATTAGAGCTGAGATTCCACAGATTCTAGAGGTATAAGTATCATCCCTGTGCGATCAGAAGTCAGGGCAGCGAAGGCAAACCCAGACAACATGGTCCTGGATCATAGGTCCTGGGTGGATATCCTCGTGGATTCATCTTCCTATTATACACACATGCATTTCCAAACATTTGGACTACCTATGCTGTCAAATGTATTATCTTTTCAATGTACACACGGCATCTATTGCACGTCTGTCCGTCCTGGGAGAGGGATCCCTCCTCTGTTGCTCTCCCTGAGGTTTCTCCCATGTTCCCTTTAAACTGTGGGTTTTCTTCGGAAGTTTTTCCTTGTACGATGTGAGGGTCTAAGGACAGAGGGTGTCGTATTGTCATGCTGATATTCTGTACACACTGTGAAGTCCACTGAGACAAATGTAACATTTGTGATATTGGGCTATATAAATAAACATTGATTGATTGATTGACAACACACAACGTAGCTTTACGGAGCCAAAACGGCAATATGGCAAATCCACCCAAATGAACCCAGAAGTGTCCAGGGCTGCACATAACTGTTGCGCAGGTGCGCATGCGCATCTCCGCCAAAAAAAAAGCACCGGGTCATTTGAAACAAAGCGCATTTGCGTACCAACATTGAGAGAGGGAGAGATGGAGAGAGAGAAGAGAGAAGAGAAAATAGAGGAGAGATGAGAGAGAGAGAGAGAAGAGAGAGAGAGAAAGATATTTGCGAGTTGCATATGAACCATGATATGAACTCAGGGCCGGCCCGTAGCGCTGGCTAGATGTTCGCCTAGGGCGCCAGATCTGGGGAGGCGCTGCGCTGGCAGTTCTGGGAGGGAAAAAAACATTTTGACCGTTGGCGCTCATCCTAATTTTCGGCCTTGATGTAACAATATTCATAATTAAGTAAATGTAACACCCTTTTCACCCCGGTTACACGTTTCATTTGCCCTGTACGATGGGCGCTGTAAGTGATGAAAATGGGGGATGTTTGCTTATCACAGACAAAATGCGAGTGAGCGAGAGAGTGAGAGAGGGAGGGTGCACCGGTACCAGCGCTGTTGTTATTAGCATCTGGTGCTAGCTGCTCTAACGGATATACTGTAAGAAGAAGATGTTTCTACAATAATGTGGAGGGAGAGTCCTCTCCAGTCAGACTGAGAGGCTGATAACTACAGCTCAGTGAGGTAAAGGACTCTGAGTGTTTAGATAGTTCACTTTAGTCTAAGTTCAAACGGTTTGGTCACAATTTATGTAAACACATATTTTCAAGGCACTCCTTTATAATTATTGGGATAAACAGGTTTGAAATCATTCCAATGTATACTATAGGACAGTAACCAAAAATATCCTTTAAAACTGGAGATAAAAAAAAAAAAGCATAAATAAATAAATGTTATAATAAAATAAGTTACATTAATTTGTTATTGGCTATGGTAGGTTATTGGTTATGTTCACATACTTATTTGATTACATCCACTTATCTAAGATGACAACAGAGACTTTCGACCCAAACCCAGCTGTTGACTTGTGGATGCAAGCAGCTAATCGCAGACTCAACCAGAGAGAAAGAAGTAGGCCTACATCATCAGCTACCATGTCTGACAGAGAGGAAGACAGAGAGGAGAACAGTCAGGAGGGTAGTGATGACAGCTTGTAGGATTACTGGTCGTGCTAATGTTGTCTTGTGTTCACCTCTGCATGTGTGTTCTGTGTTCACCTCTGCATGTGTGTTCAGTGCTGTGTGTCTGGCAAATAAAGTCAAGACCCCCTCAAAAGTTACAGTTTATTTCATTTTAAGGATGAGCACCAAGCAACATCTCCAGGTGCTCCTTTGAGAACCAGGGCAAAAAAGTTATGTGCACCCAGGGCTCTCGACTAACTTGTTTCCCCATCCTCCCGGAACCGTCCCGAAATACAATCTAAGCCGTCCCGAAATTAATGTGGACCGTCCCGAATTTCAAATGTTAGTTTTTCTACATTATCATTAGTTAAAATCATTCAAAGTGACCTTTAACATAAATAAAACATCATACAAATCATTAGATGATAATTCATCAACCTTTTTATTTGAGTAAATCATTCAATCACATAAACAAAGGCCAAATATATTTAAACAAACGAGAAAATTACTCTAATATTGAATCCAATCAAGTCCCATCCAATTAACAAAACAATCCAACACTGTCCTGAAGACAGAACCCAGAGTAACCACTAACCAGGATGACAGTCTGTCAGTCAGGAGACCTTTACAAACGGCCCCGCCCCCTCGCACACAGACGGGAGAGAGAGATCTCGTCTGGATTGGAAAGCTCGAAAATACATCAAAGACGCATGTTGTAGTCTTATTGCATATTAGAAACGGAGTTGGTGAAACTAAAACTGCGATATAATGTGTATGTAGCAATAATACATATGACATATATTTTTTAAATGTCTCCAGTACCGATAAAAAGTCCGATAACATCGGAGCTTAACGTTACCACTGTCTTTAATAATTCCGGCCCGTTTAATACCGGGGCTCGGTACCCATCCCTACATGGGGAGAGGCGCAGCATATTGCTAAGGACTAAATACGATGGAGAGTTCTCATCTCAGCCTTATTACCCAAAGGGGATGAAGAGGAGTAAGTAAATAAAGAGGCCGGCGCTCCAGGGTCTGGTTCTGCTGTGCGTTTTTGTGATGTAACGGTAAAACATTTCAGAATTCCTCCACGGGATGCCATTGTACATCACTCAACCCGCGAAATACACACACTCAGTACATAGCTAGACTCGCCAATTTGCGGGCCAGGAATTCGCGGACACAGCCAGTTTGGCGGCTGGCTGACAGCCAGCGGCACAGCTGTAGCTACATGTGTGTGTATTTCACAGGTTGCTAAATGTTTTGTGCATGTGTGTGTTTATGTTGACAAGGAGGTTTAATAACTGTGCTACACAAAACGTGCAGTCGGTTTCATTTTAATCGCCATTTGTAGTAGAGTTAGGGTATTTTTATTTTAACTCGTCCCAAATTCGTCCCAACATTTTTTTTTTTCCGACGACGGGACGTCCTTAAGCTCGAGCCCTGTGTGCACCCCTGCAAATGTCACTTGTTTTGCATCAATCTTGATACAGGGTACTTATTATATGTTATAGTTTGGATTCCTAAAGCTTTTAGTCTACCATCCCATCATTCACTATAAGTAAAGAAGCATTTTTGGACGGACACTATAATTTTATTTTTTTACTATGTTCAATCTGAATCTACTTTAAAATAAAACAATTCTATATTGATTCTGACTTTTCTACATCCAACTCACAGGTTTATCATTGCTTTGAGAAAAAAGATTATTGTTTTTTCCCCGTTTAGAAGAAGATAGTCATTTGTTCTGGGAATGTCATTTTCGAGCCTGAGGCCTGGAAAACAGGCTCGGGGCTTAACAGGTTAAGCAAACTAACATTGTAATGATTACACTTCGGTAGATTGAGTTGATATAACTTAAGTAACGCTGAAGTATTAAATAAATATGTAACCTTTTTAAAATAATCATTTGTATAATTGACTTTGTTAGATGCCTCCACTGGAAATAGAGAATTGAAACACTGAAGTATACAGGGTCCATGTTTAATAACAGCAATAGGATTTCAAAACTTGTCATTGAAAACCAAATGGTCACTGTGTGGGTGAATTCTTCCTTTAAGTCAACTGACCTGTGTGTGTTTATCTCACCTAGATGTGCTGGACTCCCTGGACCTGACCATGGACGAGAACAAGGAGAACCAGACTCCAGAGGGGGGGGCAGCAACAGGGGGAGCTGGACTGGGTGCAGCAGTACAGTCTGGATCAGGATCAGGAGAGGGAGGAGCAGGAGCTGCAGCAGGCGCTGGCCCAGAGCCTCCAGGAGCATGTAAGAGCACATCTGGAACGTCTAAAGAATGCCATTATATGATAACCGTTATCTAATAGAGTGAAGTCTGTTCTTTTTGAGCAAGCAGACAATAAACACCAGAGTAAAAAAGTGCTATTTGTACATTTTGTTCACTGAATTTCATCGTCTCCACTTTCCCCCACACAGGAGGCCCAGGAGTTGAGAGAGGACGATGATCTGAAGAGGGCCACCGAGCTCAGCCTGCAAGGTATCATTGATCTCATGTTGAGTAGCTGGACGGTGACATCACTGAAATGCAATGGTTTTGAGTTGAGCGTCTTTGATGGAAGGAATACCATTCATCATGTTTTTGCGATGTCCATCCCTCCCATGATACCTCAAGACTGCTTGTAGCTAATATCTTCAATTTGATGTCAGAAGTCCACTTGGAATCAAGGATGAACTGATTTGAATTTGGTGGTTAAGTTCGCTGGGACGGCACAAAACCTGTTTTTGGCCATAACCCTTGAATCAAAATGCTGTTTATGACAATAATATCAAGCATTGACTGGTTGGTGGAGGCATGCAACCTTTGAGTGCCAGGTAATGGTGAGGAAGCAGAATCTGTTGGATGGTGAAGTGGTAGGCAAGAGGGGAAGACATCTTTGACTGACTTTTTCCCAATTTCAGTTTCATTTTTCACTCAAGCAAAAATACCCTGCTTTACACGTATTTGTGCAAAGCAAAGGAACACAGTATCACATGTTCTCAGTGAAGGTCTCAGAGCCCCTAATAACGCTGTTGAATCTGACTCAGTGGTGTGGAAATGCCTGACCAGTATCAACATCTTCTCCTTCCCCAACACCAGAGTTCAACAACTCTCTGCCAGAGTTACTGTGCTCAGACGAGGATTCAGGCAACGAGGACGTGTTGGACATGGAGTACACTGAAGCTGAGACTGAGAACCTGAAGAGGAACGCTGAGGTACTCAACATCTGCTCTGTGATTTGAAATAAGTAGAACAGTCCAGATCAATTTTTCTCATATTCATTTCTGCAATAAACTAAAAATCAACTTCCAAATACTTAAAATATATTGTATAAAACCTTCCTTCACAAAAAAAGGATATGTCGTTTATACTGGATACACTGAACTGCCTTGGTTCATAGTAACCTTGGATACGTTTCATTCCACAGAGCGGAGACTTGGCCAACTCTTTCCGACTCATCAGTGTCGTCAGTCACATCGGGAGCAGCTCCTCCTCCGGTGAGCACTGTGTGCTGCTGTCCACCATGTAGCTGTATTCATGCATACTTACCCTACTGCAGTTAATTGAATGATGCCATTTTGCAAAAAGAGCAAATCGGAACCCTTCAGGATGTCAGAACTCCTGTCAGCACATGCTACCTGAGCAGCACAGTGCCACGTTGTGTAGAAGACACTCTTATGGCGCGTTTCCACTGCAGGCCTCGCTCGGTTTGGTTAGGCCTTATTAGGCCCGGCTCACTTTAATGCTGCGCTTCCATTACAGTTTAGGAACTGGGGCAGTTACTATAGTAACGCAGTGTAGGCGGAGCCGTGACGTCATCTTCAATGAGAGCCCCAGAAAAACAACACAGCCGTTAGCTGTTAGCACTCAGAGCTCACAGCTCCTCATATCTGTTCAGAAACTAGACAAAAGTTAAACAAGTACAAACCACAGACTGCCTGTGTCATGGCGAATACAGTCGCTGGTTTATTTATGTCTGTATAGGCCGTTGTTGTGAGTGTGGACGGTCGGAGCATATATAACGTTAGCTTAGCCAATCTCCATTTAGAAAACACGCATTTTAAAAGGTTTTTCGCCTGCCGTCTGTCTGCAGACTTGTCAAAGCATTAATTCATGGTTTTTACTAACCGGTATCAGTATGTTGTTACTTCGGCATCATGTTGAAACGTGTGTTACAATTAAATCACGGTCAAATATGTTCATCTTGTTGTAGTTGTAGCCCCCTTGCCAGCGATTCTCTCTCTAGTTTAGCATACTCAGCCCGACTCAGCCGGGTTGTTCCTGGCCCTAGAACCACGATTTTATGGGGCCAGAAAACTGAATTAGGACCCGCTAGCCGGTACTAGGCCAAGTGGAAACGCAACCAAAAACGGGCCCCGCTCGGCTCGCTTAAAGTCATGTCTCATTGCCTGAGCAGATATGTGATAAAGATTCATACCGGTGCATACACTCAATTGAAGCTGCTGCACATTTTGCATACCAGTGAGAACAACTGGAATAGTTTGAGACCTTTTCCTAGTGTTCAAAACTAAGTGGTTTATTTCCCTCCCTAGGCCATTACATCAGTGACGTGTACGACATGAAGAAGCAGTCGTGGCTGACCTTCAATGACCTGGACGTGTCGCGCACACAGGAAGCAGCCGTCCAGAGGGACCGCGACCGCAGTGGATACATCTTCTTCTACATGCACAAGTGAGTTCAGTGATTCCCGCAGAAATGAAATGTACTTTGGGGGAACGACCCCCCCCCCCCCCCCGTGAAAAATGTTGAGATTTTTTTTTCTCAATTCCTGCATTCTAGTGAATTCTCAATTATCATAGTAACACTGCACTTCAGACAACCTACAGCTGGTGATGGTGTCTAGGTCTTTAAGTGTTAAACAGCTGAGAGCAGTCACTGCTGTTTTTTGTGGTCTTCTTTCACACACACATCTTACCAAGTGTGTATGAACATCCTCACAAACCAACAAAGAACATGATCTATATCAAATTTAAGACAGAAAACTCCACACTGTATCTGATCGTCAATCACCGGATAACTTTATTTTAACTATATACAAACTGGTGAATGAAATGAGCAACAAACGTAATGGTTGCACAGACGGCACAGCCTGTTTGAGCAGTGGATCCGTCGCGGCTTGTCAAAAAACCTCTCCAGGGCTTTCTGGTATGGAAAGTGTTCCGATTCCGGTCCATCTATGGATATTCGGAGGCATGCTGCCAGGTGCTCCCCCCAAAGTATAATTTATGGTTTTTTAAGTTTTTCTTACTCACTGAGCACTCATTGCCACCAATGCAAATGCAAATGAGTGCTCACTGAGTCAAAAAAAACAAAAAACACACAAATTATACTTTGGGGGGAGCCATTATACTTTGGGGGCCCCCCAAAGTATAATGGCTCCCCCCAAAGTATTAACATGCTGTGGGAATCACTGGAGTTAGAACAACCAGAAGGCTCTCTGTTAAACAACCACTGTGGAGAGTTAGGGTCTCTCTTTGACGGGGTGAACCAAACCAATCATGACCACCCTCTTTGGTCCGGATTAAGACGCTTTTTGTTTTGTTTAAAGGGATGTTCAGATGTTTCGAAGGGGTTGTTGAATGAGGTAGTTATTCATTGTCGCTGTGTAGCAGAATGTGGTTGGTCAGGAGAACATGTTTTAACATACTATACTGTGCCTTTAGTTTTTTTGCTGGATTTTGTTAATACAAATGTATACTAAACTGATTTAATGACATTTGATTAACTTCTATAGACATACTTTCGACCTTTTTGTTTGAACTTATCTGACTCATTTCATTTTTGACATACCGGTACTTGTTTACGTTTTTGGAAAATATATTTCATATTTTTATACTCTTTTCAACATGATATACTTTCACTTTTTTGATATTTGTAACTTACTATAGACATATATTTGACTAAGCTTTATATTACTAGCATGTTTGTGTTTGATGTCAGAGGGCATAACATGCTCTGACATACTTCCTCTCGTGTCTTCAGGGACATGTTTGAGCAGCTGTCTGATATGGACAGATCTGGAGCCAGCAACCCTTCAGAAGCAGGGAGGAACGTCCTGCAGCCCCTCTGAGCGCTACACACACACACACACACCGCTGCACCCTAACAGATGGAGCTCTCCTCTGAACAACCTGGAAAACGACTGATTGCTGTCCTTTGGTGGCGGTCTTCAGGCACTCCTGTCCCTCCACAGATCACTGAATGCTCTGTTAAATTAGCACCTGTACGTGCCAACACGGGTGCTAAAGACGATTTTAACACACCAGAAATGCAGTTACAAATGTTCAGTGGATCAAATGTTGCCTCCATGTTTTTGGGGCCGGAATCTTTGTTTGCTATGTTTTTTATCAAACAAAGGTTTTGTAAATGTTTTTTTATTTGTTTCTCGACAATGCCGTTCTTTCTCTCTACTTTCACACATCAGATGCTACTGGTGCTTCATGACTTGTATGTTTTGCAGACCCTTTCTTTCCCATATAAACTAAATAAAGATATATTCTATGTTGGAGTATAAGCTATTATAGAGTTAGAGGGGGTGTTGTATTTAGCGGGTACATTTGGTGCAATATTTATGTTCTGGCACAAACTGGCCAATTGAAATCCGTTTCCTGTCCGAGTGTGTGGAGTTCTCACTGTTGCTTTGCGTGACTTACCAACTCGTGTTAGTCTCAATAGCAAAGTCTGTTTTAACTGAGCTTTTCTCACTAAAGCCTACTTGTCTCTTTTGACTTTGTGCCTCCCAAGAAAACTTTTATAAATATGTATACTAGCTTTACTTTGAAAGATGCACAACCTTGTCGCTTTTTAAAATGTCTGTCACCAATGTGTAAGTCAGGTTTCTCCTTTATAAAAAGCCAACAGATTTTCTATTTATTGCAACATCGGGTTGATTCCCTTTGAATGAACCTGTGAAGATACGCCACGGCAAGTAGAAGAGATAAATACTAGACCACCAGGGAAGCTAGCTTTAGCCTAATGCGGTTAAGTGCATCATCTTTAAGGCCAGGCTACAGAGCTGTTCATACAGCTCCTATGAGGCGTGCTTGCTTATAGACAGATTTAAAGGAAGTATTTTGTTATTCCAATACTAGACACTGGTTGTACAGCTGTTTTTGTGACCACTGTAAAAAGTCAAATCACATTGAGTTCACCATGGCTAATGTGTAACGTTAAAACATGGTGTCTGCAGAGTTGCTCCCAACAGAAGAAAATCTATTTAACAGCTTTATAAAACATGGGTTATAACCAGATATTGATACCTGCCATATTAGTGGGGTTTATTAGGACAGTATTGACGTTTACCACCGCAGGCAAAAGTGACTTGTTCCCATTTGATTTTTTTCATCAGCATTGTTTTTACATTTGTCCCAGACGCAGTGTGAAGAAGAGGGTATGATGTATTTGTGAAGTAAAGAGGAACAGCTTTTTCTACCCTTCATACACAACTGACTCTTCCTAAAGCAGATTTTAATAAAAGATTCTGGTGAAAGTGCAGAGGCTTTTTCATTTGATGTTGAAAACACTTTAATAACACTCAAATCCAGTGTTGGAAAAGGACATCCACCATCATGCCACTGTATGTGTACTGCCAGGCGGTTCAAGTCCATGGGTGCAGGGTAGTGAAAACAAAATGAAGCACCAGAGTGCTGTCACCTGTCCTGACTGCACCTCTTCATCAGAGGCTCCAGGCTCCTCCCTGTCAGTCTGTTGTACTCACTGAGGATGTAGTTCTCCCTCTGCAGCATCTGGAAACATTTCAAAAGCTCTTAGCCCCTATGCTGCCATGCAAACAACCTTCAGATTCACTTTGTCGTCATTTACTAATTCATATAGTGCACATGAACCCTTTCAGACATTTTCTTACTGTAATATCATTACAGTCATAGAAGAAAAGTATTTCCAAAGTGCCCAAAGACTAGATATAGTTTAAGAAAACTCAATATTCAACAGCTTAACTTATTCTAAACATTCTTACAGAGTTGTGCGAGCCAGCACAGAAAAATGGGTTCCAACATACTAAATGTGTTCGGATTTATCGAATGAAACCAAATGCATTTTAGAGATGGATAGTGGAAACATGTGTATAGTTTCTTGTTTGTGCCCTTTTACGTGTAAAGGGTTAGTTCACTCAGATCTCTTGCTAATCAGGTTTGTTGCCACGTAGGTTTGCACAAGGAATTGGCTGTGGTGTACTATTGTGCACAAACACAGTAAGAGGAATTAAGTACAAAAAGATTATCAAAACCTTTTTCTTTGTATTCAAAAAATATTTTTAATAAAAATATACAAAAATCATGTACAATAAAAATATGAAAAATACTGTGATGTCAGAGATGTATCTTTATTGTTTGTTTTGAAATGCCTATCTTTAAGGTTTCAACAAAATGTCTCAGCTTAAGAAATTACAATTGAATAATACAACAGCCAATTCGCATCCCAAAACCTTTCAGGAACTACTTGTATTACCAAAGAAAATGTCCCATTCTTTAGACTATCAAGAGTAATGAGGAGAGTGCTATGGAAAGACATTTTGGACAAATATCTTAGATTAAAAAATCCCAGAGGCGAGTAAAAAAGACATACGACTCGCTTCAACTGTATTGTTAGTGGAGGCAGAAATATAGGACAATTATTTGGATGTAAAAACATAAACTTTCCTACACAACTCAGGAGTTAAGACAGAAAATGTTACTCTGTATTTTGATAAAGTGACTCTTTAAATGTGTTTTTCACATCAAAATCCTTTCCCCATGTGATCCCCACACTCACCTCTGTCCATTCTTCTTCTGTCTCGTGTCTGTAGCCTAACAGGTGACAGATCCCATGTGCCGTGACAGCCTGAAACACGACCAAAAGAGGAGCAATGTGAGCTATAGTCGGACAAAGTCACTGCAAGCAGGGTTGTGAAGTCATAGTGTGCATTTCTAAAAACTTGCCCTAACTGAATTTGATCTGGCCGGCGTACAGAGAACTACTCACAGTGAGGGTCCCATGCAGATCCAGAGATTCCTCCTGACACTGCTTCATCACATACTCCACCCCCAGGAAAATGTCCCCGAGGTTCTGCTCGTCCCTGTGAAGGGGGAGGGGCATCTTACCAGGCCTCAGGTCCTAAACACGGGTCAAAGTCACATTTCAATTGGGATTGTGTCAAGAAGTCCATAAGAAACTAGCAGAGGAATGATCTTATCTTATATAAGAAAACAAATGAAGCTTAGCAGCGTTTTTCAATTCAACGGAATAGTTTTATTGGCAAGACATTTGACAGAAGAGAGACTATTAAGATGTGTAAATACAATAAATTAGACACTGAAATTAGTTAACAAAGTAAATAGTTTTGTTACAATTTCATATATTAACTCTAGACAAACTAAAACAAACAAAGTAATAATAAAGGTATAACACAAGACTACGGAAGAGGATTCATATTAAGATGAACCTTTATTGATCGGCCTAGTGGGACATGTCATTTTCCACTCTGTAAAGTAACTAAGTACATTTACTCAAGTACTGGGATTAAGTGCCCCTTTGCCAGCTTTAATGCATCAATAATTATAATCAAATCATATTATTCTGAAATGTACCAATCTGCATAATGATGAGTACTTTTACTTTTGGTACTTTAAGTATGTTTTGATATTAATACTTGTACCTCCTTGTACTTTTACTTGAGTCACATTTTTATTGCAGGACTTTTACTTGTAACAGAGTATTCCTACAGACTGGTACTTTTACTCAAGTACAAGATCTGACTACTTATTCCACCTCTGCATATTTGAATACACACACAGTACAAATACACACAGGTATAGGTGCACACATGCATTTGGTTTCTGTTTGTTCTGTTAAGTCAGTTGTTTTGTTTTTTATTGCCCTTATCCTTTTCTAAGACATCTCATATTTACAGAAAATAAGAAAAAACTAAAGATAATTCAATGATAAATAAAATAAAACGTTAATAGTTGGAATAATTCAGGACATAGACCATTTGTTATCTATATATACGAAAATATTTTTTTTTTAAAAGAGGAGATGGTAGTGGAATATGGCATGTAGAAGCACATTTATAAATGTGTATCTATCTATCTATTAACATGTAGTTGTATTTACCTCGTAGAATGGAAATGAGAGGACATCTGTTGGCACATTTTTCTTTCTGTATATGTTATTAATTTGCTGGATCCTGTGGTTATCCACGCAGACGATGCCCAAGTCAAACTTCTGGATGCCCAGGATGTGCCGCAGTGTCTCCACATCCTTCCGCAGCCGGGCTCGGCGGAGGGGGACCTGCTTTTGGAGGTTCCGCAGTATTACTCCCATTTTAGAATTCGGCGTAAAAAGATCTAAAGAAAAAATTATTATTTAGAAATTCCTGACACATGTGTCAACGGTAAAACCAACTCGCTTCCGCCGACGGACAGTTACAATAATTATAATACGGTGGGCTTATGAGCGATGTTCAGCCATTCCGGTCAACAGAGAGCAAGGTGACACGTCCCGAGGGTAACGATAGCAACACATAGGTCCCCAGAAATATGATATAACCTTCTTCTGGACTAAGGAATAAGGCAATACTGTCAATACATTAAAACAGTTATTTCGTTAATGAAAGTGTTCCCTTGACCGTTCACAACCGGTTAGAGCAGTAAACCGGTCGCAATGTTTTCCGGGGGACCTAAATATGTGTCGGACCGGAACCGGATGTGGCAACGTGAGTTTAGGTTTGAACCGAACTGAACCAAAAGTCAACATAGCAAACAAGAACTCTGAGCGGTGAGTTTTGTTTCTTTTGAAATGTGCCTACTTTTGCATTATATCCTAAGGGTTGTGTTGTTGAGTCGATATAAAAACATTAATGGTGACGGAACAAGCTAAGCTAAGTTAAACGATGTTTGGAGGGTTAGCTTATGCTAGCGACTGTGTCATGTGTTGTTATCTGTTCCTGCCTTGAAAGTGTTCTTTTGACTTTTATACGTCAGGTTGTTACACGGAAGAGCTTGACGGACGAGGATGGTGTTATAGGTCGAAAGCCTGTATGAGAAACATAGCGTTGAACAATTAGCCAAGGATAGTAAACATCCGCTAATACTTGCGCCATGAATCCATCCAATCCGTTTGGAAGTCCACAAGGTGGAGCTTTCCAGGCCCCAAGTAACACAATGAAGGCTGGTTTATTCCCATCATTTGGACAGCAAAGTTCTAGCAATCAGCCCCAACCTATGGGCTTTTTCCAACCAACAGCGTTTGGACAACCTTCTGCCTTAAATCAGCCCCCGTCTCAAGGAAATGCCATCTTTGGACAGACCCCTGCCTTTGGACAGACATCAACACAGCCTCCCTCGCAGCCAACAATCAGCCAGGCTCTAGCATTCGGACAGCAAGCGTTAGGAATGAGCAGCTCAGGCTTTGGTAGTGGCACTGCACCAGCTTTTGGACAGACTGCTGCACAGAACCAGAGTTCACCTTTTGGACAGACTGCTGCACAGAACCAGAGTTCACCTTTTGGACAGACCGTGACACAAACCCAGAGTTCACCTTTTGGACAGACCGTGACACAAACCCAGAGTTCACCTTTTGGACAGACCGCCACACAGACCCAGAGTTCAGCATTTGGACAGACCGCCGCACAGAACCCTAATTCAGTCTTCGGACAGACGTCTTCTTTTGGACAGGCGTCTGCTTTTGGGCAGGCTCCAGGATTTAGCCAACAGCCCTCTTCGTTTGGAAACTCCCTGTCTGGCTCCACCACTACCATAGGACAACCTCAGCCCCCGGGTTTTGGACAGTCTGTGTTTGGACAACCTTCATCCACAAGTGTCAGCACCAGTGGATTCGGCACCACTCCGAGTGTGACCCAGAGCCGAGGCTTTGGATCATCCAAATCCACGTTCAAGCCAGCCAATGAGGCACTTTTCAAACCCATCTTCAGTGCCAGCCCCGAGCCTGCTAACCCCCAAACTACTGCTATGACCAGCTCACCTTTTGGCAGCACTGTGTCCCAGACAACCTCCAGCTCCATGGGCAGCAGCACCCCCGCCTCTGTCTTCTCTACGACGACTGGAGCCCAGCCTGGGCCGCCGGGCTTTAGCTTCTCACAGCCGGCTGCAGCCCCCTCCATCACTACTCAAAACAATCCCCTAACAACTGACACTAGCAACGCTCCTTCCAACCCGCTGAAGTTCACCTTCTCCCAGCCAGCCGCGCCCTCCAGCTCTAGCACTCAGGCGTCTACCACCGAGCCCACCACCCCATCCACTTTCAGCTTTTCAGCCACATCCCTCCTTCCCCAGGCCGCACCACTTTTTGGAGGGACCAATTTTGGTCAGCCCCCCGCTTATAGTGACACCAGAGCTGAGGCAGAGGAAAAGGGGAGCAATTTAGGAGAAACAAATGTGTTTGCACGACTCGGCAAAGGCACCAAACGAAAGGAAGATCTAACGGCCCCCAGCACCGGTCCCGACAAGCCTGCAACAGGAGAGGAGGAGGGGGAGGAGGAGGAGGAGGATGTCCATGGAAGAGATTCACCGAGGCAGCCTTCAAAGAGGCCCCTCATGAGGTCCCGTGGCCCACCAGTTGGCTTGTTTGGGAGGGCACTAAACTGTCTTCGTAAAGATACTACCCACCCTGTGATGCGAGAGGCCACAAAGGAGACAGAGAGCATCCAAGCTCTGGCTGAACGTGCTGCTACACCCCCCAGTGCAGTGCAAGCACCAGAAACAGCTGAGAAGTCAGGTAAGAGGGACACATCATAACTACTGCATTACCTGCATTCTGATCTGAAAACAATTACTGATTACAATTATTTTTGCAGTTGCGATATGAATCTATGAATTCTAAGAATGCTAATTCTTGAAACATTATTTACATTATTGTTGAAAAATATATTAAAAACAGTGACATCACTATGTTACACTCGCATCTCTGTTGGCTAGTGCTCTAACACATGATAAGTGCTAAGGGGCGGGACATCTCTAAGCGGTTGGACAATCACAACAGAGCCGGCCAGCTAACCAATCAGTGCAGACCGGGCTCTGGTTTCAGACAGAGGGTGAAAAGAGGTGCTGCAGCACAGGCAGTATGAGAACAATAAAGAGCTTTATGAACATCAAAGCATGGAGACATGTCACAGAGAAACAAAACACAAACATGAACTGGAAAATGAACATAATAGGGCCCTTTTTAAAAAAATGTTTTACATTTTTGATGAGGAGTTTTGAGGGGTACCAATATTACATTTGCATAGATCCATTTTGTTTCCTGCTACCGATGTTATGACAGTCACAATATTGTTTGGTTTTCATGAAGCACAGGGACACCGATAGACATCCTGCAGATTAACTAAATGAATTTGAGTGATTTCCTCTTCAGAATATACTCATCTTGTCATCTGCCTTTTACCCATCAACCCTCTCTAGACTCACCCAAAGCCCCAGACTCGGCCTCCGGCGGGGTCACCACCCCTGTGAGACGCGGCTCCCGCAGGGATAGCATGGAGAGCCTGGGGGGCATGTCCCCCACCGACTGCACCGTCCTGCAGTGCAGGAACGTTCCTCCTGCCCTCAACAAGAAGGAAGTGATGGAGAAGCACTTTGGTCGTTTCGGGAAAGTCCGAAAGGTTTACTGCCGACCCGGCAAGAATCTGGCCATCGTTCACTTTGATGATCACGTGAGTTGGCTCTATGTTACTACGAAATGTAAGTTATTAAATCAAATTAGCCAAATGCATGAACAAATATGAACTTTTTTTACTTTGAACTCAACAGATGACATCAGTTTCGGTTATTTGAAAACCTTCCTTTGGTATTCATCTACAGATTGTAAATTGAGTTTGATCAGGTTACATTTGCGTGTTGGGATTTGAGACTCCTTTCACAAAAAGATATGCTGGTTGGAAACTCTGATATTTGGGTTTTTCTAAGTAAATATAATCCATTTACCAACTATCGATACTACAGTAGCCTTCAAATGTGGACATGTAGTTTAAAAAGGCTACTGTCTAGTAGCGGACTAGTTCTTCTGCTGAAATCATAGATAAAGAAACAATGATACATCATTAGCCTCCACACTTCCTCCTCAATAGAGCATCAAGATCTGCTTGTAAACAAATACAGAGTTTCAGAACAGTATATCTGAACCCATTTTGATGACATTTGTGTGGAATAAACGTGAGTACTTGAACATGGTACTGGTTATTTTTGAGTGTCTAATCTGCTCTTTGTTTGTAAGCATTGACCTTCTGACCAACCTCCACTTCCTGGGTGACTGCAGTCTCTAATTCATGCCTCCGATCTTATTTTTCATTACTAGATCACGTTAAACACATTTATTTATTATTGTTTGAATCATTCAAATCACAAAAATGTTTGGCTTACCGTCACTGTTCACTGTCTTTCAGGCAGCAGCAGCAAAGGCAAAGAAGAAAGGCAAACTCCTGCACAGACACGAACTCCTCCTCTTGTGGCAGAGAAAGAAGCAGAGTACGTTCACTATTCTCCAGTTGGCATATCATTCATATGGATATACTTGCTAGCACGTAGCATGCCCAGTTCCGCTGTGTAGATATGACAGTCTATCGGTACGGACCTACAAGCAAAAGGGAATTTAAGAACTTATGTAAAGACTTTTGAGCAGGTATCTTCTTCTTTTCTTTTACACGTGTCCTGCATATCCTTAAAAGGCATTGAATTCACTTGTCTTAAAATAAGACCTTTAATTGTTTTTCAAATGTCTGTTTCAAAGCTCTTATACAATGCAGGATTTCTCATGTTGTTTTCTGTGCCTCAGGTCCAGGGGACAAAGGGAGCAGAGCTTCAGCAGAGAGAGGGGAGGCAGAGGGGGGGAGTCAGGAGGACATGGAGTCCAAAGATGTTTCCTCATCCCTCAGGAAGGGTGCTCACAGAGGTCCTGCACTCAGCAGCCTCATGTCCTTCAGCCGCAGGTACACTCAGGGTTCTTACGATCATTAAAAACCTGGAAAAGTCATGGAAATTCAAAATGCTAATTCCAGGCCCTGAGAACATTTTAGAAAACAATATTTTTCCCAAAGTTTTGGAAAAGTCATGGAAATGTGACTAAACTTGCATCAAATATAATTTATATTTGATCTAATCGCCGAAATAGTAATACTATAATGATAATACATACTGTATCGTATAGTAATGAAACGTAAAATGGCTTTTAACTGACGAGGTGTTTTGCTGGTGAGATTTCAGTTGCTTTAGCGTGTAGAAGCTAAGCCTATTTGATTTGTTTTAGATAGGCACAACATGTTTCATATGCAGACCTTATCTTCCTGTTCCATGTTCAAATAAACCATTTTCAGTGGTACGCTGAGAAAGAGTAATTTTTTTGGTCATGGAAAATTAGGTAAAGGTCATGGAGGAG